TGCCAGTGAACTGCCTATGACATACAAGTCTCCGTGTGAGTGAACTTAGAAGCAGATTTTTAAACCAGCCAATAGCCACATGAATGGCTTGTCTCCATCAGACGGACTGAGATGACTGCAGCCTTCACCGACTCCTTGACTGTAGCCTACCAAGAGGCTCCACTAGCTAATCTACCCAGCCAGCTAAACTGATCCTGATTCAAATCGGCAGAAACTGTGACATTGTAAATGTTTGTCGTTTTAAACTCAGTTATATCGATAACTAATACATGTTGCATCCAAAATATAACACATTTAAAATTGTCCTCATCCGAAGTCATTACTTTTGTTAGTTTCATCTAAAGACAGAGGAAAATGAATGTAAATCTACAAAAATGACTTCTTTGTAGGTTTGGTTCTGCGTGATAAGAAAAGTTTTATAGATGTTTATAAAATTTTTAGACTATGTTTGGGATGACCTGAATAGTAACATAAATTTCTATAGCATGAATAGACTTCCATGGAGGGTGGAGTTTCTCAAGCTTATAGGCTGCCTTTCTCTGGAGCAGCTGAGAAAGGCATGAGAAACTCGTGGAACTGTCAAGTCAGGAGATATAAGTCCCATGTATTAAAATACTTGGGCCAGAGAAAAACAACTCTATTTCTACATCAGAAGTCACTAAGGAGAAGTCCAGAATGTCAGGTATCGATTGCAATGGAGATGCTTCTCTCTGTAGGAAGCCCTAAAGTGAGTAGCGCCTTAATTCAGAGTAGTTAGCAATTTTCCCAAGAAATAGTAGGGAGACCGCCTGATGGGTGGGATGGTTCCAATTCAACAAACATACTTGTCAAGCACAGAGGTTGTTAATATGAATAAACAAAGATAAAGTTCCTGGTCTAGAAGAATGTATAGTTTAGCAGAGAAGTAAGACTTGTGTATTTTAAAATGAAGTTTATAAAACTTGTGTTGGTTTCCTATTGCTGGTAATAAATTACCACAAATTTCGTGACTTAAAACATCACGAATTTATCACGGTATGGTGGCATTGAGAAGTCCTGAACTAAATCACTGAGCTAAAATCAAGATGCTGGCAAGGCTGCATGGCTCGTGAAGTTTGTAGGGAGACTTCCTTGCCTTTTCTAGCATCTAGAGACTGCTGTGTTCCCTGGGTTTTGGCCTCTTCCTCCATTTTTCAAAGCCAACAGCTTCTCGTCGTGACACCACTGTCTTCCTATAAGGACCCTTGTTATTATACTGGGCCCACTGGGATAATCTTCCCCATCTCAAGATCCTTAACTTAATCATATTGGCAAAACACGGTAAAAATGGAAAACTTAGTAAAGATTCATGGCTGTGCGACCAAATAAACTGATATGAAGAAAATGAAAAGGCAAGTCCAAGACTGGGAAAAAGTACAAGACGAGTATCTGACAGAAGACTTGAATATGTAACACATTGATTGCCACACTAGAAAAATCAATTTTCTTTGGGCCCATAGTGTTGTATTAGGTCAAGAAACATGTGAGTTATATATGCTTCATGGGGTCCCAGGCTCAAAACTGGCCTAACTCACATGGCAGTTGATGTGATAAAGATTCTTAACAACTCAATAACAAGAAGTATGAATGACAAAAGAAAATAAAATCACAAAGGAGATGTTTTGATACCATACTCAAGTGGCAGAAGTGAAGAAGACCATGTGTCAGTCTGACTCTAACTGTCAGTTCAGTTTTTATAAAGTTAACACTCTTACCGTACACCCAGCAGCCCTACTCCTAGAGAAATGAAGCTGTGCATACACAGAGACCAGGGTGCATGAATACTCAGAGCAGCTTTTTTCCTAAAAGCCCAAACTAGCAACAGCTTTGTGGTTATGCTGAGATAGAATCATGCACATACCATGGACGAAGCGGTAAGACAGAACTGATAGAACAACGTGGATGAATCACAGAGGGACATTCTGAGGGAGAGAAGCTGCCGAACAGGAAGACCGCAGCACACCGGATGATTCCATCACGTGACATTCTGGAAGAGGCAAAACTGGAGCGACAAAAAGCCTAATAGTGGGCACAAGGGTCAGGGAAGGGTAATTATCGCAAAGGGGCAAGAGGTGACTCTCGGGGGTGATGGACATGTTCTACCTCTTAATCGTAGTGGTGCTTGTGACAGCATTTTCACTGTTTATCTACCATTTAAATGGGTAAATTCATTATATATAAAACATACCTAAACAAAACCGAATTAAAACACATCTCTACACACACAAACACAAATCCAGTGAAACAGTTTGCCCATCTTGAAGTAATTGCACTTGAAGCAATTCACTTTTTAACTTCCAACACATAGGCAGTCCCTGAGTTACAAACATTTGACTGATGTGTAACTCACACTTAGGAACAGAAACGATTATAAGCAATAGGTACCCTTCCAACTTACATACAGATTCAACTTAAGAACGAACCTATAGTAGGCGCGGTGGCTCACGCTTGTAATCCCAGCACTCTGGGAGGCTGAGGTGAGTGGGTTGCCTGAGCTCACAGGTTCGAGACCAGTCTGAGCCACAGCGAGATCCTGTCTCAAAAAAAAGAAAAAAATAGCTGGGCATTGTGGCGGGCACCTGTGGTTCCAGCTACTTGGGAGGCTGTGGCAAGGGAATCGCTTGAGCCCAAGAGTTTGAGGTTGCTGTGAGCTGTGTTGCCACTACACCTCCTAAGGGCTGCACAGTGAGACTCTATCTCAAAAAAAAAGAAAAAAAGAACATACCTATAGTATGTTCATAACCCAGGGATTGCCTGTATTACATGTATATGAATAAATCTGGGCTCTGCAGAATAGTTTTTTGTATACTAGTACCATGAAATTCAAAGGAAAACATCTTTGTGCCTGGGATTACTGGAAAAAAGACAGAATTCTTGAGCTTCCTCCTATTGACATGGGAGGATTGGAATTGGATTAGAAGGGGAAAAGGTGAGCTAAGTGTTACAGGAAAGTGAGTCCCAATGTGACAATCACTTGAAGTCTAAGTGGGACTTTGGCTTCACACATGAAAGAATTTGGGAGAGAGCCAACAGTGTAAAGGGCAAGCAAGTCTCTTCCCGAAAGTATACTCCCTGCGGGAGTCTTTTGGTCCCTATGTTTACGCAGTGGCTTAATTGTAGACTTAAACTTGGGGAGGCATATTCCCATTATTTCTTGAAAAGGGGCAGCGTTGTCTTAGGATGACACCCTCCTTGTGACTAAATATGGCCCAAAAGGAACTGTGGTGGTGTCAGGTGCATGCTGGGAGTGGGAAGCTTCCTCCTGCACCTTTATGCTAATGAAGGGACAGTGCAGCTGTAAGGTCCGCGGTGGTGGCTCCTCTGCCGTCCTGGTTCTAACTGGGTGGAGCTTGTCCTGCCTCCTTATTTAGATCAGTGCAGCTCAAGACTTCCTGACCCTATTTTGATCAGGGTGATTTGAAACTTTCCGCCTCAGTTGAACAATGCCTGCCAGGTCCCTGTCTGGGGAGGGATGTATCTGAGGTGGAGAAGTCTGAATGGAAGCCACACTACTTAGTAGTGACTGGAAGGAAGGGAAGCCTCAGACTGCCTTCGTGAAGTGAGCTCCAACCATGGGGTGCCTTGTGTTCTCGAATGAGGAATAGGGAATTGACTTAGTAGGTCAATGAATGAGACTTGTGATGAAAGAGTTAATGTCAGTTTTTAACTTATAAATCACATAGAATAGGGCCTGGAACATGATCGTTGCTATGTATTTTTAAATAGAATATATCTCTCTTTTTTCAAAAGAGGTAGTGGCATCCACACATGAGTTGGGGGGAAAAGGTAAGAGAAATGAACACTTATCCAACATATTATCAGTCAAATGATTTTGTCTCAACAATAGGGGTATGCAATATTGCCGTTGTTTTATAACGATGGAAATACAGGCTAAGAGGCATGGGTTCTACTGCAAACACAGAAAGGGTGTTGTTCCTCAGGGGTCCATGAGGGCCTGCTTGAGTTAAAATCCCCGGGGAGAGGGATGAATGTCCACACATCGTACCTGGAACAAGTAGATTTGATTGAAAGATTGGGGAGGGGGAGGAGTCTGGATTGCTAACCAGCTCGCTAGTTGGTTGGTAATCCTAAGAAGGCTTGAGAAACACCGTTTCCAGACTTAGCAGATACTGTTGCCGTGTGGTGATTTCTCGTAGTTAGAGTTCTTGGAAACCAAAGTTAGCCTCAGAGGTTATCTTTGTCTTTGTTAAAAAATGTTATATCTTTACCGTGTTTGTAACGTAGCCATAATTCTCAGGCTTGTATTTCATAGACAAGAGTTACAAAAATAAACTAGCAAGTGCTCCTTATAATCCTCTCTAGAATTGACATTGTCGACTGCTCAAAGAGCGCTACTCATAGCACTATTTTTTGGATTCCTTTCTTTATCATTTCCCTTAGCTTAAGGTCCTTGAGACCTGTTACCTTGTGTTTACCATTTTTTATACAATATGGGATAAATAAAAGGTGTACTTTTATTACTGTATATAAGTGAATTATAGTGGGTAGCAAATAAAAGAACAGGTTTTCATAAACCGTATTTATAAATACAGGTACTCTGACTTAAGATGAGGTTATGCACCAATAAACCCATTGTAATTTGAAAATACAGTATGTCACAAATGCCTTTCGTGCACCTAACCTACCAGACATCATAGCTTTGCCTGGCCTACCTTAAATGAGCCTGCAATTGGGCAGAATCATCTAAGGCAAAACCTATTGTATAATAAAGTATTGAATACAATTTCTACAGAAAGTATATTGCTTTTATACCATCATAAAGCCCAAAACTCTTAAGGTGAACGATCATAAATTGGGGGCCATCTCATCGTGGGTCTTCATGAGATAATTCTGTTCTCCTAGACTCTTCTTCTGTCTCTCACCAAGCATATTAACCCCAAATCACTCTTCGTAGTATTTAGCTGCCTACTTATTAAAGTCCAACACTTAATCTCACGTGATTCTATACGTATTTTCAACAGTGACTCTTTTCTTGCTCACCGAGAAAGTATGCAACAGATGATGAGAAGTTTTTCTGAACCTTTTGGAAGAGACTTGCTCAGTATCTCTGCTGGTAGAGGGAGGGCTCATAAGCATGCGAGACGTTATGACGACGAGGATGCCTTGACTGTAAGTTCATTCTTAAAAAGACAGTTACTGAGAAAGTCATGTAGGAGTTTGAAGAAAAGGATTACGGAAGTACTTATCCATGATGACAGGATATGATTATACTATGTTATAGAAATTACCATGATATAACAGGGCTATCCAGTGAAAAGCTGAATTCTTGAACCATGAATTGTTAGCTGTACAGAATTCCACTGTGCAGCCAAAACATTCAGAACCATATTACAAGACAAACTTAAACCACTGTTTGTCATACACACACACAAATATGGTATTCAACTAACATTGTAATACAGATGTCTTTTAAAAGAATTTGGATCTAGCTGGGTGCAGTGGTTCACACCTGTAATACCAGCACTCTAGGAGGCCAAGGTGGGTAGATTGCTTAAGCTCAAGAGTTCAAGACCAGCCTGAGCAAGAACAAGACCCTAACCACTCCAAATAGAAAAATTAGCTGGACATGGTGGTGGGCACCTGTAGTCCCAACTACTCAGGAGGCTGAGGCAAGAGGATTACTTAAACCCAAGAGTTTAAGGTTGCTGTAAGCTATGACACCATGGTACTCTAGCCTGGGGAACAGAGTGAGACTGTGTCTCAAAAAAAAATCATAAGTCAAACCCCTATAAGTTGGGGACTGTCTATATTGCATTGGACTTTAAGTTTCAATGTATGAATGTGGGATAGTGACACTAACATTTAGACCATAGCACTTGTCCAGTTTATAATGGCAGAAATTAGCTTTTATCTATGATTATTAATCATTTATTAGTGTACTGTGGAGTGTACAGGTTAGCATCCAGTAGAACTTTCTAGAAACTGGAAATGTTCTTAATGCACACTGTCTAGTATGGTAGACACTCCCTACATGTCTGCTGAGCACCTGAAAAGTGCCTACTGCTACTGAGAAGCTAAATTTTAAATTTAATTTAATTTTGATTATTTTAAATTTAATTTTAATTGCCCCGTGTGACTGATGACTACCTTAATGATGGATAGTATGATGATAGACATTCAGATAGACTGCAAAGCAGTTAGCTCCTTCTTAAACAATGGTAAGTAAAGCACCCTAATCATCTCTATGTGAACCTCATCTTATTTCTCATTTCATATAATCATCTCTTTAAACATTTTTTCCAAGAAAAACTGCAGTATTTTTCCATCTGTTAAAATTAAATGATAATTTAGGCTCAGTGTCTGTAGCACAGTGGTTATGGCGCCAGGCACATACACCAAGAGTGGTGGATTTGAACCTGGCCTGAGCCAGCTAAAATAACAATGACAACTGCAACAAAAAACAGTGAGACTATGTCTCAAAAAAAAAAGCCAAAAACAGTAAATGATAATTTAAACCAACGAATTTCATAAAACATAAGTCTCATGGCTTGTTTTTTTTTGTTGTTGTTGCTGTTTTGAGACAGTCTCACTATCTTGTCCTTGGTAGAGTGCCATGGAGTCACAGCTTACAGCAACCTCAAATTCTTGGGCTTAAGCAATTCTCTTGCCTCAGCCTCCCAAGTAGCTGGGACTATAAGCACCTGCCACAATACCCGGCTGTTTTTGTTGTTGTAGTTGTCCTTATTGTTTGGCAGGCCCGGGCTGGGTTCGAACCTGCCAGCCCCAGTGTATGTGGCTAGTGCCCTAACCACTGAGCTACAGGCGCCAAGCCAATCTCATGGCCTTTTTTTTTCTTGACTTTTTAAATAATAATACTGTTCAATATTATTTACTTGCCTCTTGATTTTTCTTTCTTACATTTTTATCAACCTCTCTTAGATAAAGAACACCATTGCATTTTTTTGTTCAAAGTATGAAAATATTTTGCTAACCAAGAGCACTGAACATTGTTCTAGGGCAGATGGAAGGCAGCAGTAATATTTTAAAAACAGGTATTTCATCCTGTTACACTGGGTTTTCAAAGGAGCATTAAGTCTTTCAGCCTCAAACTCATTTCCCCCTGTATATTTGTAGCTTAATGCACACCTTTTCCCTAGATGTCACGTACAGAGGGTGCCAAAAAGATGTATACGCATTTTAAGAAAGGAAAAGACTGTGTGAATTTGTATTAGTCAAGTCATATTTAACTTTTGCAGTTACAAGAGGTACTCAACATGACTTGTATTGATCTTTTGTTATTGATATATATATTGACTATTAAAATGTTAATAGTTTTTTCCTTTCTTAAAATGTGTATACATTTTCCTAACACTGTCTATATTTGACGTTTATTTCTAAATATGTAGGACTTATATGTATAATAGCAAAAATAAATTTAATTAAAAGAAAAGAAAAAAGCAACAACAATAAAAACTTGTATCCCAACTTGTCTTTTCTAACAAAGTTTTATAACTAGAAGTGAATGTGGGAACAAAAATTTGAAATTGGGCAGTGCCTGTGGCTCAAAGGAGTAGGGCTCTGGCCCCAGCCAAAAACTGCAAACAAAAAAAAAAAAATTGTAATTGATTACAGAGAATGGAGAAGAGTTTTCACTGTTAAACGTTTGAAAAGAGCAGAACCAAGAAGATAATCGGCTTTTGAGCATGGTAACTCTGAGTTTATTGGAACCCTTTGTCAAAATAAATATAAAACATTTTTCTTTTCATAAAGTAATGTTTTAAAATGAATGTTTTGATTAAGCAGTGAGCTCCTATACCTATGCTTTTAAGCATAATAGATGAAAATTCCTATTTCATAGAGATAGCTCGATAGGTTTTTTATAAAGTTTTGGTCAATTTCTGGATAGATGTCATCTTTATCAGCCATATTATGAAGGAAAATAGAAACATCAACTATGCCGTCTAGTTGTTTAAAAATACATTATTTAATCTATAAATCTATTTAACAAGGCACCTTTTAACTCCAGCTATGGCTGAGTGATGGTGTCAGTCAGTCTAAAATTTGTACTCTATTTCAATTAAAAGAAATAAGAATTCTATCTAAAACACTTCAGAGACTACTGTTCTAGATATACATTACAAGTATGTGTCATCTGATATTACTTATAAAACTTAATAGAACCATAGTTTTCTCTATTTTTTGACATAAATGTGGAATGTGGAGGAAATCATCTATCACCAAACTTTGTACTAATAAATTATTGTATATAACATAGCTATGTGTATTATGTATAATATACATAATATACCATCATTTATAATGATAAAACTTTATCACTCAATGGTAAAACTTTATCTCTATTTAGAAATTCAAAATTTATTTTCAACATTTAAAACTTCTAATAATGAAAGCATTTGTATACATCTAAACATTTGGTTTTATTCCTCTGTACCTGTTGAGGAATACAATTTGTGAACTATTAATTTTGGTTATTTCACCTATTCTACTTACCATTGTTTTGCCCATCAAAGAGACAAAAAATTTTTATATCTATTTATGCGATCCTTTCTAAAGTCTATGCTAATTTCTTATTCCATAAACTAGTCCTTAGGAAGTAAATTTTTACCCAATTTCTCTACTGTTCTTTTAGAATTTTATTTTTATAGATAAAAAATTTATCTTTAATTAGTTACAGGCAAAGTTAACTGATCTTTAAATAACACCGAATTGACCAGGCGCGGTGGCTCGTACTGGTAATCCCAGCACTTTGGGAAGCCAAGGCAGGGGAATCACCTGAAGCCAGATGCTTGAGACCCCCCCACCCCCACCCCAGGCAACATAGCCAGATCCTGTCTCTACAAAAAAATAAAAAATAACTGGGAATGGTATACCTGTAGTTCTAGCTACTCAGGAGGCTAAGGCAGGAGGATCACTGGAGTCCAGGACTTCGAGCTGTAGTTAGTGAACCATCATTGCACCACTGCACTCTAGCCTGGATGACAGACGAAGACCTTGTCTCTAAAACAATTTTTTAAAAAAAGGAATAATTGAGCAAAGGAAAGATGATTTAATAATTGTAACATATATTTTAATTACTTTTGACATGGATTTGCAATTCCTTTGAAAATGTTTATGTTACTCCATAGCAAGTGCTTTTTCTTTTAACTGCCTTCAGTAAATATTAGAGTAGTCATATTTTCAAGTGGTGCATGGCCCTACTTGCTGCCAGACTCCTCTCAGGCTCTACAATGAATAATAAGCAGACAATTTAAAAAATGAATGTTGAATTATTTTTGTTTAGAGGATTTTATGATTTTGGTAGCTCTAAGCTATGTGGTTATGCAATGGATTTCTTTCTTTTTCAGGGATTAGTATATAATAAATATTGTAATCAAAATTAATTGGATATTATTTTTCTAGGCACCAAGCTATTCTCTCGTGCCTTTTGGCGGTTTGGGTAATATGGTTGGTATCATGAGACACAAGCCATTTTAGCAGTATTTTCTAACAAATATTTATTTTTCTGAACTCAAGCAGACTGAGTTGGCACGCAGTCTCACTAACCTTTGTAATGGCTGTTTAGAGTAGTATTTGCACTGAAAACTTATTGCGTGTATTATCTCGGAATGTTTTGGCATGTGTTTTCTGAAGTTAAGTCATGTCAACATGTATAAAATTATTCTTGAAAAATAAGTAGATTTTAAGAAATGAATATTTGCTTGATTTACACACGGGGTCCCCATAGTTGTGTTTGAAAGTTGGGGACTTCCACATGCTTCTGATGACTTTTGTGCAGAACTATAAGTAGATAAGGGTGACTTTTGGAAAAGCCCAGCGTGGCTGCTTCCGCTTCCTCGGCCACCTGTCCGGGCTGCTTTTCCTGAAGAGACACAGTGGCTGCTGCGAGACCAGCTGTGTTCCCACCCCCATTTCTTTGGGCTTTGGTCCTGCTCTGTGATGCTCATTTCTCAGAAATAGCAGAGATCAGCCTGAATTTATAACATTTGTATTTACATTCTCATGAAAAGTTTCTTTTATAAAAATTTAGTTTGTGCTACACTTGAATCATTTGTTGCCCTAAAGTTTGTCATACAGGTATAATATTAGTCCCTACTATCTAGTGGGACAAATGATTAAAAAAAAAAAAAAAAGGAAAAAAAGCAATTATAACCCAGAGTTATCAGTAAAATGATCAGGAAGGTCAGTATGCTGTGGGAAGACACATTAAAAAAAAAAAAAGCACTTAACCCAGACCTCTAGAGGTGGGGTGGATGTCACTTAGCGAAGACTTCCTCAGCCTTAAGGATTAGTAGGAGTTAGTCAGGAAAGCAGGAAGGGGCAGAAGAAACAGCAGGTGCCCAGAGCTAGGGAGCTGACACACGTTCAGGATGGCAGAGCCCCAGTGTGAACTGAGCTGCAGACGCAAGTTAGGATAAAGAGGTAACCAGAGGCTTTAGGCCTTAGTAAGAAGTGTGAACATTATCGTAAGAGCAGGGGAAGCGTTTGATGGACTTTCATCAAAATGGCAATGAGTCAGATTCTCATTTTTACAAGATCTTTGTGCCCGCAGGGGAGAGAAAGATAGAAGGGATCACAGAGGAGGCAGGGAGGCCAGGAGGCTTTTGAAGAATTCTGAGTAAACTGTTAGCAACAGCTTCTACTTGGTAGTGGCCATGATAATATAGAAATTGTTTCATTTGAGAAAGAGTTAAAGAGGTGAGTGGCTAGAACTTGGTGACTGATGTGACTGAAGCAGTAGAGAGGGGGAAGGGAAGCGTCATACCCATTTTTCTGCCACTAGGAATTAGGTTGATGGAAATGCCGCTGAGCTCAGGCATTGAGTCAGCACAGACACAAGAGTGGGAGTGATCAGAATTATCGATTGAGCATCTGTGGGTTGGACAGGTGGATTGACATTTTCAACAGCTGTATGTATGAATCTGCGCTGAGCTAGAAATAACTTTCCATTCATTCAGCAATCCTTGTCTTGAGGATATGGTAGTAAATAAGAGGGACAAGCTAGCTCTGCCCTCGCAGAGATAATTTTTGTAAGTGGGAAGACAGACAATAAACAACAAAATAATTTCAGACAGTCCCAGTCCTCTGAAGGAGAGGAACCTGGGTGGTGATGTAGAGGCCATGGGAGGTGAAGCAAGGTGACACAGGTGACCAGGAGGAGGTACTTGCATAGAAGGAACCAGCTGTGCTGAACGTCAGGAGGAGACGGGGCAGGCAGAGAGAGGAGCCCCGGGAGCATCTCCACTCCAATTCATACCCCAGCTTTTTCTCACTGCAGGGTGTTGGGCCACCCCAGAGCAAGTACAGATCAATCTTTTGTTGTTTGATTTGACAGTGAATTGAGAAAAGGGTGGAATATACCTAAAGGTCCGATCTTTCCCTTCCTCTCCTTTTCTCCTTCTTTGGGCTAAGCTTTCCATCTGATACAGGCCCTCACTCTCAACCTAGTGTTGAAACAAAATATAGCAGACCCTCCATAGCTGGCCACCTCCCTACACTGACCACCTCCTTAAATTGACCGGATTTTCATAGACCAGACACATACCACAAGTAGGTATCAGTACAGTAGGCCTAGTTCCTTAGGTTGACCACCTCTGTATTCTTATTCAGAATATTCCCTGAATTGTGTTTGAAGCTCTGAAATGCAGATTAAATTCAGTCCTTTGTGTATCCAAAGATACATTAATATGCCCTGAATGTGCTTCTGTTGTTGCCTGCATATTAAGAACACATCCTAAGGAGGAATTTGGTTTTCCCATCTGTTTCCCATTATTACTAGCAGTCAGAACCCACTAGAAGGCAGAGACACAGGCAAGCCTTTGAGAATTCCTTATTTAGGCCCAGCTTGATGCGTTAGCAAACCAATCTCCAGGAGGAGAAATGCCAGCACTGACCCCACAGTGCCTTAGGATTCAGAACTCCTTAGGATTGAGAACTTAGGATTCAGAACTCCTCCTCTGAGCAGAGGGTTCCTTATCGAGCAACACCCTCTGTTCTGTAATAGCAGATAACTCACTAGGTGACACACTAGAATTTGTGCTCTGTTTTTATTTTGTGGTGAATGTTCCACTGACAGAACCTAAAATCAATAGCAGATTTTTCTAGTCCAGGCTTTCTCAGCCTCAGCACTACTAACATTGTGGTCAGGATAATTCTTTTTCGGGGGGCTGTCCTGTGGACTGTAGGACATTTGATGGTATCCTTGCCCTCCACTCACTACCTGCTAGTCACACACTGTCTTCCTTTGTGACAATTAGACATGACATTTTTGCCAAATGTCCCTTGAGGGTCAGCGTGGATCTTGGTTGAGAAATCATTGTTCCAGAGGCATTCGTAGCTGTTCCTCTGAAGAAGCAAACCTCGTCTTCAAAGGCGTGGCCTCCTGACCTGTCAGCAGGCAGCAAGTTGAAGGCCTGTTAGTAAAGTGGATTGAGCTCTGTCACCTGGACCCTGCTATGTACGATAAGAGTAGGGCTGGCTACCTGAGGGGCAGCTTTTATCAAGCATGTGTTTCTGGTGGACATGACACTGCCAATTTGTTCTCGAGTTTTATTTATTTGTATGAATGGGGTATAGAGAGGTAAGAAGGAAAAATTCGAAGATTCTCCAATGCTAGAGCTATTCCAACCCAGAAGGCATTACTGTTTAATATCAACCAAATTATGTTTTGAGAAAGGTCATGAATAGTGTATGTGCATGTATTTGAGGAATGTACATGCATGTGTACGTGTGTATGTACATATGAACACGCACCTGTGCATATACGTATTTGTGGGGTTACAGTCCCCTCACCACATCATTTGCGTGTGCTTCAATTTTCTCTTTAACAAATCACTTTCATTGTATGGTCCTTGAATTAGCTTTGCCGGGTTGATTACTACATGACATCTTACTAAGTGAATTGAAAAAAATAATTGTCACCTGTTTAGGGAAGATTGATTTGCTTCTTTTGTGTTGTAGTTAATAACATGCTTCCTAATATCCTGTAGCGTACAGATGTCAACCCTTTTCAGGCAATGGACCGAATGATGTTAAATATGCGGAACAGTATACAGGATTTACAGAGGAACTTCGTAAGTACTGAAATAAAGTGCTGAGAACGTTGCTTTCAGTTATTGGTACACCCCATATTATAGTGGCTTTCAAACATTTCTTAACCACAGTTTACGGTGTTT